CTCTTTTAGGTTCTAAACAGGTGGCAGTGGCTCTGCGCTCTAATGAAGCCTTTTGGTGACTTTGTATGTCACAAATGAATATTATTCTTCATACAACGACGTTCATTCTTGTCGTATTGGGGATGGACTACTAGACCGAAGTTTTTTGCAAGTTGCGTATGTCGGACGTGAACCAGTGCTCATTCTGGGGTCATCGCTACCCTGTTTCGGCAGATACCGCAGTCGGCTTACCTTTTACTGCTTGTTCCTTTCTCCTTGCTCTGTCCTCTTGGACGCGGTAAACTGCGGGATATCTTTGGACGGGCCTTGAGGATTCTACATTACCCCTCGCCATCATGCTGCCTCGCTTTGGAGAATATATTGACCTCAGTCCCCTGAAAGAAGTTCTAGACAGTCTTGAGGTAGCCGGAGCCTGTAGCGCTTTAATTTCAAGGAGCAAGTATGTTGTCTGTATCAACTACGTACGGCGCATAACTCTCGGTGCATTTACATCACTGACCGCCGGTGTTTCCAACTTCCCTCCGCCATTTTACATCGCGTCGAATGCATCTCCGTGCACATGATTCATAAGACTTGTCCTGTTATCTACGACATGTCGGCCGGCGCCTACTACACCTCTTCCATGGCCGAACTGCTACCACCCAACCCAGGCTGCGATATGCCGCATTCGATAGGACGTCACTATCGGGGAGACCGCCCAATATTAGCTGAATGGCCGAGAATATTTTTTTCTTGAGCCAGGGATATAGCAGGGAGGACGATGATCGCAGGGCGATCAACATGACCCTTCATCTATACCTGATGTTGCTGTCGGCGATGACGATCAGGTGAATAAATACCGAATATCTGCAGGTACCTTACCTTCGCTTCTTAGTACGATGCGAAAACCCAGGATGGTCGATTGGCAAGCGAAGACCGATGAATCCAGGTATGAGAAAGTTGACAGCATCAGAGTGGCCTTCGGGAGAGCTGCTTTTCTCTGACGACTGCTTCCGAAGGCCTCATTCCGCCTCTTCATGTATCCTCTTTCTAAGCGGACCCACATGAGGAGACAAGGACCTTTTCGACCCCTAGTGGCCACTCTGGACTCTCAACGCATGGAGTCAGGCACATACATTAACGATCCACGGGACTTCTTTTGTGGAAGTTAATGCAATGAAAAGATATGTCATTTGCGCCTACTCCGACCGTTCGACTTCCGTGGAATCGAAGCAAGACATGATGAACGTGTCAAAGCGAAAGATCGAGCTGACATTGAACGGTCACAGCAAAAGGACAATGAACTCCGCTCTCTCCTCCGGCCTACCATGGTTCCGCCCCCGAGGCGGAAACGGAGCCGTCTGGTGCTCTGCATAAGTATGGTTCACGACTTCCTGGTGTTGTTTGAGACTCATCGCTTCTGTTGACTTGTAGGGCGCCCCGGTTTCATGTGAATTCCGGTTTTTACCAGGCCATTGACAAATAGATATAGGCGGAGTGCCGGTATAGTGGGACTTTCATTGTAATGAAACTACAATCTTCCTACCCATATAATTTTAATGGTCTTCAGAGCTCTCGAGGTTCGCCGTAGGTGCGTCAACTCCGGTTTTCGGTATGCTGAACATTGAGCGTAGTATTTTGAACGTGAACGTTCGCTGCCGCTGTCAAGTCAAATCGCCTGGCGAGCTTGCGCAGTCTGAATTTCTCTTGATGTCCGAAGAAAAATGGATGAGTGCTAATTTACTGACGGGTCTTAATCGTTCGATTACCTTGGCACTTGTCCCTCGACCGGGCGCGTAAGCACCCCCCCGGTTGTGTCAAACAGTAGTAGTTCCTAATTTTTTCTTAGAAAGATCGCCAAGATTTATGCAGCTTCCGAGCCCACAGCAGTCATTTTATCTACTCTAGTTGAAAGGTTACCGTGGAGACCGTGAAGCTTTGTCAGACTGCCAGTATTACTATTCGAGGGACCACTGGCATAAATCGAAGTTCGCAGTCTCAAAACTTTTAAGCGGGGGGATAAATGGGCTCAAGCTGACCCACACTCCCGGTCACTTGCTTCTCGCTGAACGGACATACCAATGGAGTCGTCGAAAGGTCCAGGAAAAAGGCTCTACCTGAGGTTTGTGATCAGTGGTCACGTCGGATTCACTCAATCTCATGCCGTCGGCCTGCACAACGCGGGCTTGTGGGCGGTGTAAATCCACCGTCGTTTCTACCTTTAGATTATAGCGGCTGACCCCAGAAAGATTCTGTCAGTGGTCCAGATGGCTCCCCGGAAAATGAAGCGTCTTCCGGCTGCGGTTCGTACTCTGAACACGCGCCGCAAGGCTTGCTATCTGAACCTTTGCAGCTTCTTATCAAGGGTCGCAAGTTCCAACGGCCTTTCTCTCAGGTGGATAGTTCTACGGTGGTGATGGCGACAGCAATGAGGCTGTTCGATTATATTCATTCGCCACGCAAGTGATACGTCGCATGCGTTTGTCTTTGCTCATGCTCAGGGTCAGTCCTGTGCGTTGCGGTAAGGAACAGCTGGAAAAAGGTAGGACTTCGCTTGTTCTTTGGAGGAATTATATCTCACGATGTTGTGTAGAATCGAAGGGGGGCAACGTGCCCGAAGGCAGGTTATGATTGAAAGATGGGTTGAGTCGACGGGCCTGAGCTACAATCTCACGTCCTTTGTGATCGACCTTAAAATTTTTACCTTCTTGACATACGGTGATGATCCCTCAGACATTGATTTTGGACACGCAATATCTTAGCGATACGAAGAGCGATGGTCTCGGTTTTCTTTCTGAGGCGCTACAGGTTGGCCGTTGACACTTCTGGAGACTCGGGTCTTATCTTGAATGACACACTGATCCAGTAGCATAAATACGGATCTGGGCAGCGTGTCAGACTATATGTTCGTAGTACTTCAATCTTCTTTCCTCTAAAGAACGCAGGCTAATAGGGTTCGACTTCGATATATTCCTTCAAAGCCCGTAGTGTTAGACCTTCTCATGTTTCGCGTTCCAAAATCAAGATTCCACGAGTAACCCTTTAATTCTCACAGATCCCTCGAATCAGGTCGTGACTTGTCCGGCCCGGTATGATCGCTTATTGCAGAAGAAGGTGCTCGTTTTCATCCTCGAAAGGCAGGTTACCAAAGGTCGGGTATAGAACTTTGATGCGCTTTCCTACGAGTTCAGATGCCGCCAAGGGGCGGCTCTTGAGTCTTCGTCTTCTATACGTTACCCTCTGAGCGTTTTCTATGCTACGACTACTGCTAGAGCATGTTTGGTGCAATTCCATCGCAATGGATTACACCACCAAAGATGTATACAAATGGTGGTCTAATTAAACATAGATGTTCCCGCGGGCCGCGCTTCCAGTTCTAAAATTCTCTCAGGCCTAGAATTGGAAGGACCATTTAGAGCGAGCGAGACGCCTAAGGGCTATTAATATCAAGCTGCAGCTTTGAAGAAACAGCTAGTAACGGGCGATCCCCCGCAATCGCGGTCTCTTGGAAGGGACCTTATATAAACACACGTAGGGAGACTCTTTAGCGTTTCACGTACAACAAAGCTCGCAGGTCACGGTGCCTTTAAATCATAGAAGACTGAATATGTCCCTTGTATTGTGTTCCCAGTATGTTCCGTGAAGAGTTAGGATTTGGAACCAGATACCGGGAACGCTCGAGCTCCGAGGCGGGGACCAAACAACACCTTCCACTCATAGGGGAGGAATAGATTTGATGAAACAAGTAGCAATGGTACATCCATAAAGGGCTTCAGGGCTAAGAATTAGGAAACTGGAGTGGACCCCAGAATGATCCGACCTTCCCACAAACTCCCAAATGGCAGTTTGCTTAGGGAAGTACTGTACATGCGAAGAGACATTCCCTTAAGACCGGTTTCAGAACACAAAGCTGCCGTAGATTACGCGTTACTGGCGAGAAGTTTCATAAGCCTATAGAATAACGATGGTGATGGTAAGAGAAACGTGCGAAATCAGAGACAGGCGGCTATCCAGGAGCGGCGGGATTTTATTGGCTTCGTGACAGAAAAAGCATCGCGTCCGGAGCAATAGAACACCTAGGCTTATGGTGGGTGTTTGGGTGAATTTCGGTAGAGCACGCACGGTTCGCTGCTTCGAGAGGCTCCGCAAGTAGAAAAATGAAGCGGGAGAAATACCAAACTTTCTTATCGCTACGAGGCGCGAGGATGGTGTCCCGGATACATTCGTTAGAGTTATATGAACGGGTTACTTGACGGAAATGATGAGCCGCTGCTCTTGAGAATGACGGATGAGCGTGAGGAATGATTGTGGCTTGACGATGAGAAAGTCATTACGAGAATTTTTCTGATAGCACATAAATCCGAGACCGTTCGAGGAGATAGCCGCCTCGCGGGTATTACTCGTTCAACTACGGTGGGGGTGAGAAATGGAAGACGAGGACCTCATCGCCGCCATGGCGGTCCCGTTTCATTTAACTCGAGTCGCGACGGGTATTTGCGACCCGATCGTCATAGTGGGCATCCATCAGAAAGTCTGAGATACCATTGTGGGGTCTGTGCCAGGCTTGTGGAACAGAAATCATGCAAGGAGATACGGGCGCGGAAAGAAGAGACGGAGACCACTCGAAAGCATATTCGCGGAGTCGAAATGTTAATGACCCCATGGGCCATGGCCCGGGTTAGTGATCCAGGGATGTGTTGCTGGTCCTGAGTGACGTATAGCTCTCAGAGATTGGAATTTGTAGTTTGAAAAAGCACAAGTATGCCGAAAGATCTGTGAGCCGCGGGGGCGCTGCAGCCTACCGGCGGGAAGTTCCAGGCCTAGGTTACCGCTGACTATCCAGGGAGGATACATTGGTGTGGGAAATGGTTTTCGTCAGATGCGAGAAACGAATAGGCTATGATTTTACGGATTCGAACTGATGATGGTAGTTTGGGACAGTCAGCGGGATGGTGCCGAGGGAATAATCTGAGCTATTACCTATGTCGATTTAAGGGGTAACCTTTAGGTTTTAAATAGGGTCTCTGATAGTATATCGGTTAGTACACGCGCCTGTCATTAGTACGCGCGAAAGCTGGGTTCGACTCCCAGTCAGAGAGATTACCTTTTATTTGCATATTTTTGATTTTCAATCTTATTAGGTTCCTTATACTTTGAGCACTACAAGTAAGCAAAGAGTGTCGACCGTATATTATATTCCATGTCAATCATTTATTTAGGCAAACAGTCGTATTCCTGATTCAAACGTTACAGTATTTGAAGGACGTCATCACCTTCCTGCGAAGCGCTTGTTATCGACAGCAATATTAGCTGACAATCTCATTCTTGCGCAGGGACGATATGCCGAAGTCCTGAAAAGAGTCGGACATGGCCGAATGATAGAAGACGAGCGCCGCTGAGTTAGATCAGGTGGGAGAGATTTGGGTGTCACATCACAAAGGGGAAAGGCCTGAGAGCTGATGGATTGAAGGTCGTGCGAGTTTGCAAGTCTGGGCAGACGCAGAGTCGCGGTGATACTTACTTACGTAGGGTGACAGATCGCAAGGCGGCGATCAAGAACAAGGAAAACTACCCTTTTTCGGGGTGCTTCGGCGCATGGATGTATGCGAAAGTACGAAAAGCAGTGCATATAAGAAGGTAATTTGCCAGATAACGTGAGGGAGAAACCGGGAGTGACGGGATTTTATCAGAAAGTTCAAAAGAAAAGGGCTGGATAAGGACGGGAAAAGAAGGAAAAATACGACAGATATGGGTGAACGATCGGGGATAAACACGGCTATATCCGGACTCACTTTTTCTGAACCATCGGAGATTAGTTTCTCACCAACTTTATATAAACTACACTCGCAATGAATCTGACGTGCTGTTCGACCTTGCCCATTCTCTGCCATGTCGCTCCTCTCCCTGCCCGTAGAGACAATCGACCTCATCGCATTCTACGTCGCCTGTCCGACAAGAGACGGCCTTCCCAGCTCGTTGTTGCCGTTAATTCTCACTTGTCGCCACATTGGCCTCTACCTTCATGAATCCAACGCCGTTTTCCGCCAGATCTTCACCTTCAAGTTCAGCTACGGTGCTGTCAGCCGCCGAGCACTCGAGCTGACGTCGCAGGACCTGAAGCACCAGCTGTGCTGGTATCGCAAGACGCTCCAATTCATCCTCGAGCGACGGGGCCTTGATGGGGAGCGCGAGCTGAGGAACACGTATGACGTTGATGTCTCCGAGGTCCTTTGGGCAGTATATGTTATGTGCCTCGACGACGACGGCTACAATCTGCGGCAGCTGGCCGCGGTTGGCACGTACGAGTGGATCCACGACTTCGTGACCCTGCGCTTGTATGACGGAGCAAGCGAGACGGGCGGCTGGCCGCTCGACAACTGTGTGAATGCGCTGGCTTTGTGGATCTTCTGGAGACTTTCCACGAAGGGTACGCCGTTGTTCTGTTTTTGCTGACCTCATGTTTGAGCTTATCCGTAGTGCGCTTGCTTTCCGAAACAGAAGAGACGTCCGAACGTATCATTCACTTGATTCTACCTTTCGTTACGGTCCCTTTTCGGTATGCGTCTGCCTTTGCACCGCCGAACCACTTTGTCTTGCCCCTCCGGTCCCATGCTTACAATTTCTCTAATCTATCCTCGCAAATACCCTTTCGTACTCGCTCCGCCCATTTCCTCTCGGTGCCTACGCCCCACGGCCCTTATCCAGTGTACCTATCCCCTTCTCGCGTCTGGTCACAGGTCCATTTCTCACGGCGTATCTCCCTAACGTGTCCCCTTGTCACTACCGCTGCCAAGCTCCTCTTCTTCTCACGCAGGGAGCTGCTTCCATATGGGATGAATTATAACCTTCCTAGGAACAGGTCATTGGCCATAGCCAATGGCCTGGATGGCCCGACGCAGGAGGACATCGATGAGATGAACCTGCATCGTCTCGGCGGCCCTGACGGCAAATATGGGGGCACCAAACTTCCGGCAGTGGTTCCAGATTCCTCGGACGAGGTATCAGACCTCAGCAAATCCTACGATTCAGAATGGTACAGACTTTGCCTCTGCACTAATGCGTGGGCTGATGGTCTGGGGGATGATGATGAGATTTGGCGGCGGGCAAAGTTGGGTAAAGGAATGAGAGTCAAGACTGCGGACCATGAAATACGCGAGCTCAGATTTCGTCACGCCGAGATGTACGTCTTGGGGTTGCTCACCGGTTTGTGGGCCGGTCGTATGGCTGTAGGTTATTTCCCCAGTTGTCCTAGACCATTCTTATTGAGTTCGCCGCTCCAGATTCCTGGTGAACATCAACTCCTGCAGCTCCTGATCCCGAATCAAAATGACAGTCCCACTCAAAATGACAACCCGGTACCTTTGCCTCAGGGGTTTAGCGAGGATTACCTCGGGCTCATAAGCGTGCCTGTGTATATGCGTCTACGGGAGCACGTATCTTATGCGGGCGGTGATATCATTCCTACTGGTGCAAAGGGACCTGTACCTTCATGCTATGAGGATGCTGATGACGAGGACGACATGGACGAGGATGACGTGGATAGTCTGCATGATGTGGAAATGGCTAGTGAGGGCGAATTGGAGGATGATGATATGCCCTTAACCGAGGACGAAGGTAGACCCGAGATCGACCGGCAACATCTCCTTGACGAATTCGATCAAGGTATGCGCAACGCCTATTTCCCCCAAGATGTTGCCTTCCAGGAAACTATTGACGGACACGGCATGCGGGTGACGGCTCGGGGGCAGGAATACGTGTACGAGAATTGGAATGGAAGCGAGTCGAAGACAAAGATAAAAGGGAGGTTCCATGACCGAGAGACATGCGTCGGTTGTGCAATGCGGGAGAAGCAAAGAGAGGAAACGACGGAACGTGGGTGTTAGTGCGGTAGCAAATGATGAGGACGCGCCTCTGGACAGTATTCCTCTTCCGCCCTGTACCGGTGTGCAGGATGTGATCATTACGGGCAAGACTGATGATAGGCATGGCCAGGCGTGGCGTCATTACACGTATTATGGCCGAGTTAGGCGGTGGGACGGGATGATTGGCATTCTTAGGATTGCAGTGAGCTTTGTTCTGTTCTCTATTTCTTGGGTTCTTATGCCGCGTGTCTCTTTGCAGCGCAACCGCCGCTTGGGTAACTTGTTCTTCTTCGGATATATTGTCGATGGGAAGAATTTCGTTGGGAACTGGAGGATAACCCACGAAGACCCTGGCATGCCGGCTTGGGCGGGTCCGTTCGTACTCTCAAAGGTGACGGAGGGTAACGCTTGATTATGACATTAACCGACTATGCATTCGCTTTGGTGATATCTTGGAAACTGTATGTATACGCGTGTATTTTGGACCGGATCGGAGGCTGTATTGCATTGCATTTAACTATTATTTAATAGTCACATTCTGTACCATACGTGCCATACGTATATTTCGTGCGCATATTTAATGGAGATCTAAGGGCACAGATACAGATATCATAGAGATCGCTAATCCCCCTAGTTGCTCATATTCTTAGCATGAAAGCGGCGACCTCGTCGACGGCGAACACAAGTCGAATGTATTGTAAGATCTCTATCCTTTCCTTTACGGAGATATGATGCTGTGGCGGTGGCGCAGAATGGGATCCGGAATCAACCTCAGGCAAAATGGAAGACGGAGGAGGGTTATGTATAGCTTCATGAAAGTACGGGAGGAGAGCGGCGAGGTGTAAACGTATTCAAGACGTGAAACAGAGGACACGAGCCCAACCACGCACGTTCCCACTAAACTCGCCATGATACGTATGGGTGCCGAAACTGCCCCCGCCCAGATCCCGACTCACTAGGCGTCGCTGAGCACGAAATTCTTTTCGCTTGGCGTACGTCCCTCATTCATAAAAGTGTTTTGCAAAGGATTGAATAGCTCGTAAAGAGTACGGTGATCCGGTCACGGACGTAAACCTGTATGCAGTGAGCGCCACATTGGGCCTGCAGGGAGACGCGGCATCATGAAAGCAAACGAAGACAGAACTTAAAAGTAAGGTTTTAAACAGTAACCTTGCAACTGACATCATTCAAATCACGTGTCCTCCCGGCCCTCAAGTCAGCCACCGTGACAGTCACACACACGACAAACTGTACAGTTGGTCAGGTTTTTCCCAGGATAACCTTTAACCAGCACCGTGAGTTGGGAGGCCGTAATTTTCCACCTTGTCCGTCTGCCTGACTTGGGTCTTTCTTCTAGATGCAGATTTTCGTCAAGACCCTTACGGGTAAGACGATTACCCTCGAGGTTGAATCCTCGGACACCATCGACAATGTCAAGGCCAAGATTCAGGACAAGGAAGGGTAAGGTTGCGAGTTGGAGAGGAATGGTTGATACTGATCCTCGGTGCTTCTAGCATTCCTCCTGATCAGCAGCGTCTCATCTTCGCCGGCAAGCAGCTCGAGGACGGCCGTACCCTGAGCGACTACAACATCCAGAAAGAGTCAACTCTCCACTTGGTCCTCCGGTCTGTTTATTTTCTCACCATATGGTCGGTCTTACTGACGGACGTTTTATAGTCTCCGTGGTGGAATTATCGAGCCCTCGCTCAAGGTCCTGGCCTCAAAATACAACTGTGACAAGCAGATTTGCCGAAAGTGCTACGCACGGCTGCCCCCTCGTGCGACTAACTGCAGGAAGCGCTCTTGTGGTCACTCGTCGCAGCTCCGCCCGTGAGTGTGCTCTGGTGTATATTCTTTGATGTGAAGCTAATTTTGCGTCGCGTGTTTAGCAAGAAGAAGCTGAAGTAGTCCATTCGCTTTGTTATGCAGATCAGAGCATGCAGAGGGTCCCTGGGAATATGCCTTCGCAGAATTATATGCATATGCCGTCTGTATGTCATTGTCTCGTTGAACATGCGCGTTTATTTCCTGGTGTGAATGTGTGAAGGCGAAGACGGTAAGGAGCTGACTACTAATCGACAGATTGTCAGAGCTGTTTGCATGGTACGTATGTCTATTGTTCAGTTCGATGTGTACTGATGTTGTGTTCAGCATTATCAAACCTGTGCAGGTGTCCTGAAAGTCTGAAGATGATTGCACTCAATCAAATGTGAGAAGTAGGGTCTTTGTCTTGTGAA